GATCATCTGGAGTGAAGAACATCATGGTGAGAAAGTCACAAGCTTGGAGGTTCAATATTCATGTTTAGCATTTAATTGATCAATATTTGATGTCAAGTCTGTCATCATCAGCTTCTGGAAATTGTTTCATATTACATTCGTATTGGTTTGATATTTCCACATTGTTCATCAAGCATTTGTGCTGAAGTTCAATATAAAGTGAGCACAAATAATGACCCATGAATGATTAGATGATTGAGTATATGCTTTAATAATTATATTGACATTGTAAGGAGGGAAATGAACAGTTGAGACCAAAACGACTGCTGTGTCAGATCAAGAGAAGACTCTGAGCCGCAGATTCAATGAAATTAAAATAATTTACTGGAGATAGTTTGTGGTTCTGCGGCAGGAGGGCTTCACACTAGCATTGAGTTCGCTGGTCGATCTCCCTGCCTTACACTAAGACAGAAAATCTCTCCTGCATACAAAGAAAATTACTTTACAGAGAATTTACACATAAAATAGAAAAACTCAGGAATCAGTTGTTTTAATCCACCAGGAATCCAGTTCCCCTCGAGAGCTCTCCATGACCTCTGACCTGGCTTGGTAGATGGGCCATTCTTCAACTACGGGCACTTTTAGCCTTGTGAAGTTGAATAAAAAAAACTTGTTCAAAATTAACGTAACATAGCCTCATAAGTTTAAACACTTTGTCTAGTTTTAAGATCTGTAAGAGGACAAACTCAGATAAGAAGAGAAACATTTTTTCCATCGTGAACTGAACAAATGTCAATTCCAGCACATCTCAATATACAGCTTATATTTGTAAATGACATAAATGATGGCAGTCAAACATTGTCTAAGATCATTTTTGTATCTAGTTTAACCAAATATTTCCACAATATCGATAATAATTATACATTTGTCAGTGAAATAAATTAGTTGTGTGCTGAATTGTACACCTGTCACACTCTAAAACTTAATATTAATTTGGTTAAGAGCTTATTAGAAAATAAATAAACTGAATTTGTATATTAAATAGAGCATGAACTCATACATTGTGAATACACTTTAATGTGTGATGAGAACTTTTTAAATGTTTTTAATAATGTGTGTGGTGATGGAAATGACATTTCAACAGTTTATTGTGAAAATAATGAAAAATAGCTTTACCGATTAGCTTTGAATTGGTACAAGTCTTTCATATATACAAAACACTCTTATTTACCCTCATTTTGTTTTGGTTTTTAAAAACATCTTTGAAGGTACAGCATCTTTGGAAATGATGTAGAATAAATGTATTTCCTTATCAAGCAATATTTATCTTGATTTTTCTTCAAGTGTTGTTGATGAAAACTTAAATTCCCTCCATCCTATACATGTTCTCAGATGGCACTATTCATTTTCATAGAAACCACCTAAATAATCTTTCACACAAACCTTTTAAAGAGACATTACAGTGTTGTGGTGGAAATGACACTGATACTGTGCGACAGCTATATTTTATATAAAAAATAATATTGATGATAGTCTCACATTGACAACTATAAAACATTTACCTTATTTCACTAGTGCTTCATTAAGATACATTAATAGATACCAGATAAATAATACTTTAAAATGTTCTTTTCATTGTTGAAGTTTAAAACTCTGAGTGTGCGACAAAGATTTTGACACCTAAAAGAAGGTTGAATAATATGAAAAATATATAATAGAAAGGTAGTAAATTTTTTAAAGTAGGTTTTAGTATTAGTTTGACAAAGAAAGAGGAATTTGAACAAAATTATATATATGTTTGGATATTTGATCAAAGGACATAAAAGTGCTCGTAGTTGAAGAATTACCCAGATCCTGAAAATAGAGATTTGACAGACACAGACGCTTCAGCTGAACACATCACTACATTAGGTCATGTTTAACTTCAGTCACTGAGCAAAATCATGTCAAAGATTAAAAACTGATTCAAATAATCATAATAATAAAGTCAACAAGAACAGATTTTGATCCTTCCTGAAACAGATGAAGACAGAAAACGACTCGCTTCAACAGGAAGCAGAACTGTGCTCACGATGACCTCAGTTTACTCAAACCTCTCTGTCATTTGAAGATCTCCATAAAAACTGTGTGATATTTAGGGATGTCCCGATACAACATTCTAACTTCCGATACGATACCGATATTAAAGCCTTCAGTACGAACCGATACCAATATTAATCCGATATCAGCACAAATCATGAATACTTTACTTTTACCTATTTTGTTGAGTGGAATGTATGAACGGCTAGATCAAACTAAGAACAAAAGTCAGCAACAGTTAGTATGGAAATAAACGACCAATTTATAAACTATTGGTTGCATAAATGTGAACCTTTTACATAAGAATATATAAAAAGAATTAATAAATATTAAGACCCTGAAAAAAATCTTAATTTAATAAACCAAATCTATATTTTTAAAGTGCAAAAAACTAATTAAAGGTCACTTCAGTTATTTACTTTTTATTATCAGCAAATGGTAGAAACAGCTGAGAGCAGAAACATTAGAGAAAAAAACATTGTTAATTGAACAACTGCTAATGGTTGAGTGTCCAAAGTTTCAATTACACACACAGCTTCTTGATGAATTTGTGATCCAGTTTCGAGCTGAAAAATATCTTTCACACAGGGAAGCAGAAATAGGGAGTTAATGTTATAAGTTATTGTTAAATTAATAAAAATGTGCAGATATTTAATCTGTGTTTGTATCATAGGAAGATTATGGCTTTATCAATGTTCCCAAACAAAACCTTATTAATTTTAATAATAATACATATTGCACATATTATCTTTAACATAAATTTACTTGCAGTAGCTGGATTGAAACACACCTTTTCTCCACAGCACATGCAATAATGTGACTTTAAAAAATAATTTTATTTATCAAAATTCATTTTATTTGCATAATATATTGCACAGATTCCACCCTACAGCCCACATGAGAAAAGTATGACAATGTAAATAGAGACAGAACTGCAAAATCATGTGCAAAGCTGACACTGTTGATCAGAGCACTTTATCTTCTGGGCTTTTTAAAGAAGAGTTAAACATGGGAATGCCTCTAATTAAATTTTACTTCTGCCAGAAAGTAATACCATTCTGTCTTTTAAACTGTAATGGCCCTCAGCAACAGCATGATTTCTTATTCTTATTTAATAGACAATTAAAACAACAAAAATGTTTAGCATTTAACACCTTTTACATGACAGCTATAGAAAACGAAAGCAGAATCCGGGACATGTTAGGCGATTTAGAAATCCTGGCTGTATGCATTTTTAAGTCTCAAATAGAGGACATGTCCAGGAAAAAGAGGATGTATTGTCAGCCTAAATAATGAGCTGGGTCAGACTATTTAGTAAAAGGCTTTTCTTCGCCTGTCCTCGCGCTCTTCTCAATGCGACTATTAAAGTCAGATGTCCTGCGCATCTCTGAAGTCTGAAGCAGCAGAGCACCCGAGTCTGTGGAGTTTCTCACGCACACAGAACCGGGCCGCTGAGGTAAAGTCTTATGTGTGGGAAGCGCTGGTGTTGCATTGGCTATCACACTGGATAAACCACGATATGCCATGGCCGAATTGTAATGTAGATGTTTAAAATGAGGCTAGCATGGTGTGCGGTTGTCGCCATTTAGTGCAATGCTTAGCAGCGTATACAAAACAATGTAACTTAAAGATCGCTTGACGTGAAGTAAATAAACCAGTAGAGATGTGTCATTGTTGCTAGCGTCAGCGTGTGCTACCGTCACAATAGATTTCTATCGTAATTCACCATAACTTAGCGTGAAGAGCATGTTAAATCTTGAAGGGACTTTGCTAGCAAGCTGTGTTGTGGTCACGTGGGATTTGCATGCTAGCTCTGGACGCTGCTAGATAGAATGGCTGTAGCGGAGTTTAGAGCGAATCGGACTGCTTATATTGGAGATTTTTAACGCAGCCCGATATCATTTTTTGGACTGATATCGGACGAATTTCTGATATCAATATCGGATCGGGACATCCCTAGTAATATTTAGCATTTGATGATGAGTCTTTATTTAATAATAATTACTTTTTTAGTTTGTTTAAACCTCAAGACTTTCTGCTTCCTTTTACACATTAAAGTGTTTCTGGTTGTCAGCATCAGTGGAGGAAAATACACAGAACTACAGCTGCGCCACAGGAAGGTGAAATCTCAGTGCTTTACATTTGCTGTGCTGAAGTTCAGGAAAAACATCAGCACAATCTTTCAAATCAACTGAACTGCAAAAGTGTAATTCAGAAATATCTCCACAGGAGGGCGACATGTTTAAATTCACACTATTAGATATGCAGTGGTGTCATTCACCAAAATCACCACACGAGAGCAAACATTTAGAAGTTCGCAGTGGTGTTAATTCAGAAATATCTCCACAGGAGGGAGAAACGTTCATTATTTTAGAGCGGCAGCAGTGCAGTCCACAAAAATCCCCACAAGAGGGCGAATTTTTAAATTCAGCAGATTCAAGATTTGCAAAAGTGTAGTTCAGAGAAATCTCCACAGGAGGGCGCAATATTTGATACATATGTAATGTAACATATGTTATTTGTCTATTGTTAGATCAGATATTCAGTGTGTGTAATAATGTGTTTATTTGTGTGTCGACTCTACAGGATCAGTGAAGTGTTGTGGACTGTAAGCCTGTTGAACAGAAGCAGAGACGAGTGGACAGACACTGACTGTAATGATGATGATCATCTGCTGCTGCACAGGTGATGTAGATCATGTGTGTGATTGGTTGTGTGTGTGTCTGTTCCACATGTCGGTTACCATCATTTGCTTTGTGGAGGGTCACTCCTCTACAAAGTAAATGATGGTAACCGAAACGGGTGGGGAAGGGACGAAGGTCCAGAATTTTTATACAGTTCATTTTAAATTTTTTGCCAGGCTGTAAAGTATAACCCCTGCTGGACACGGCTCCGGAAGCTCCAGGGGGAGACCGAACTGGTATCCCCCCTTCTTCAGGCGCGCCTCACACTCACTCACCATTCACTCATATCGCAGAGTTCTGGCTGGCCTTGAACCAGCAACCCCTGAAGCCATGGGGCAGCGCTCTTACCACAGAGCCACAGATCTCCATGTCTGAACACTTGCTGGAACTGATTTTGGACTGCTGACCTGTGTGTGAGCTGATTCAATAAAACAAGATATATGTCAGATCTGAACCCTTGTCTTTATGAGTCTCTTCCTCAGAGAACTTGTGTTTATTCACTCATCAACCATAATTAGTTTCACATCAGCGTCCATCATCTTGATGAACATAATGAATTGTGTGGGACATTAGCCATGGTGAGGTTTGAACCCGGGTCTCCTAGATTAAAGCTCAACACTTTATTACCTGAGCCACTGAGTCTGGACAGTGAAGGAGGTGTCAGATTGGGGGTTTATGACTATTCTCATAACGACCAGGGTTTGCCACATGTTTCTTTGTAATTTGGGCCACGAAAAACCTGCTGCCAAATGTCAAACCCTTTGGCTCAAAGGATGAGCGTTCGCCTGCTATTTAGAAGTGTGAAGGATCGAATCTCATTTCTGCCAGATCGAGATACAAGTCAGATTTGAACTCTTGTCTTTATGAGTCTCTTCCTCAGAGAACTTGTGTTTATTCACTCATCATGGGTTTCGTTCCATCATCAGGAGCTCCTGGTCAGTATAATGACATCAAGATTGCTGTAACCATAGTGAGGTTCGAACCCGGGTCTCCTTGATTAAAGATCAATAGTTTATGACTTGAGCCACCAAGTCTAGATGGTGAACAATGTTTCTGAATGAGGCTTTATCACTGTTTTCATCATAAACACGGTTTGACATATGTTTCTTTGTAATTTGGCTCACAAAACAACTACTGCCTGGTGTCAAGCCCTGTGGTTCAGTGGATAAGCGTTTGCTTGCCATAAGGAAACATAGGTTCAAATCCCACTATTGCTTATTTTACTTTCGGTTGCTGGAATTCAGTCACACAGTGTGGTCCAAACAGCAGCTGACAGACTGAAAGCCATGATGGGCTAGTGGAAGAACACAAGATTGCGGTGGACAACATTACAGCAGAGGCCTGGGTTTGAAACCCACTTCGATGTGTGGCTCACAACGACATAAGTGCAGACAACAAGGTAATTAGAGCGGGAACACACACATAAAATACTTTGTTGTTTTTCTGATTATCTCAGCAGTAAAAAGCAGCAGTAATGCTCGGATTTGAACCCAGGTGTGCTGTGACAGCTTCAGATGTCCTGCTGTGTGCTCTGACCACTACACCATCACCACACACATAAACCCACATTTCTTTCTCCAATGGGAGGATAACCACATTCTACACATTTTGAAAAAAAAAATTAAATAAACACAAATAATTCATATCAAATGTAAATTATTTTAAATAAATGTAAACTGCATCATATGCGAATATATTATTATATTTCACTATTCAAAATGTGGAAAACATGCTTATTCTTCAATCAGACACATGAACATGTTTCAAATTATCTTACAGCTGCTTGTGGGGCTTTAAATGTCACTAAACACAATTAAACACTGGAAAATATCATCATTTACTTCTAAAGTCTCCTCATACTGTACTGATGACTCTACACCAAATCTGGCCAATCACATGCTCTCCACAGAAAGTCCCTCCCCCAACAAACACGCGACAGAGCAGCAGCACAACAAACACACTTTCTGGACTCTCTACTGGAAATATGAGCTCATAAATACCTTTCCTGGAGCTGTGAATCCGCCTGGATGTGGAGGAGCGTGTGGAGGAGCGTCAGCTGTTGAGCGCAGCTCAAAGATCTGCAGCAGAAACACAACAGACACACGTGTGTATCTTCACTGCTGCAGAGGAGAGAGAGAGAGCAATGACTGAACACAAACACTACAACAACATCACTACAAACTAAACCAACCAAGCAAAGTCCCTTACAGGTGAGTCGCGTTACTCTCCATTTCTGCACTTGGTGTGGCTTTTCTTCACTGTCGGGCTGTAATATCTGCTGTTGACTGACATTATGAGTCTGTCACTGAGCTGTCATCTGCTACTGGAGCTCAACTTGACGCCAGTAAAACGGTGTACCTGTGCTGATCTAGTGTCGCTGTTGTCAAAGGTGTTCAGACTAAAAGAGCAGCTCGCTGAATAAATAAATACTATTTAAATCAGGATCGGCAGAGAGGCAGGAATTAAACTCAGATCATCGTGAGCACAGTTTTGCTACATGTCTGTCTGTTTAACTAATTTTTAATGTTTAAAGCATATACTCAAACATCTAATCATTCATAAGTGATTAATTTTCTCACTTTATTTAGAGTTTCAGGGCATATTTTTGATTGACAGTGTAGAAATATCAAATAATTATCATTAAAATACGAAACAATTTAAAAAAAACTATTGATTTCAGGCTCAACATAAAAAAATATTGTTGAATAAAATGTAAAACATAAACAAACTGATCAGTGAATGTCCGCTTGAACTGAGAAAATGTGACTTTAAACAGAGAGCAGCTGAAGCTGTATTGATGTGTTTTACTGTCTTTACTGCAGATGAAGTTGGTATGTGCTTATCAAATAAACATTTCAGACGTTTCTATGGATGCTGCACAATTTTTATGTCAAATTTAAGAATTTGAGTCCTGAAGAATAAATAAATCAGTGGAGATGTCCAATAGCAGAGTTTCACTGTGTTTGTTTACAGTCTACTGTGGACATCAGCTGATTCACAAACACATTCATATTATCCACATTCAGTGCACTGCTCAGTCCTCTGCCATTTTGATCTATATAAGAGTATTTTGTAGTCTGCTGAGTATAAGTGTGTACATACTACAAAATGCACATTTAAAAATAGTCAATCACTCGGCTATTACTGTAATCTTTCTGAAGTGAAAGAACTGCAAAACACTTTATTAAACACCAACAGTTGAAGCAGAGGTTGATATTAATTCTGCCTGTTTTATATCAGAGCTTCAAAATACAACAGAATAAATCTCCGCCGGTCTCTTTTGTTAAGTTTAATTATAATGTAGCCTAAATTTATCCATAACACAATAATGCAGGCCGCAAGTCAGATCACAGCTTACTCAAATTCATAAATATGGTTGATATGAACCTTCTGACTCTAGTCATATTTTATAGGAAATGAATGAGCATATTAAACTGTTTCTGGAGGTTTACCTAAACAAATCACAAACCTACTAAATATCAGAGAACAATTGAGCTTATTGAATCAATGCAGAATATGCAGCACCTCAGAATCATTCGATTTGCAAAGGTGTAATTCAGAAATATCTTTACACAAGCGTGAAACGTTTAACTTCATTATTTTATAACAGCAGCAGTGCAGTTTACAAACATCAGCACAAGAGTAATATATATCATAATATTTTAAACTCATAAGATTTGTTATGGTGTACTTCTGAGAAATCTTTAAACGAGGGCAATAAAATGTTGGTTGTCAGCAATAGAGGAGGAAAATACACATAACTACAGCTGCGCCACAGGAAGGTGAAATCTCAGTGCTTTACATTTGCTGTGCTAAAATTCAGAAAAAACATCAGCACAATCTTTCAAATCAATAAATCTGGAAATGTGTAATTCAGAAATATCTCCACAGGAGGGAGAAACTTTGCATTTGAGTATTTTAGAATGGCAGCAGTGCAGTTCACAAAAATCACCACAAGAAGGTGCTGTTATAGCGAATATTTTAAATTCAGCAGATTTAAGATTTGCAAAGGTGTAATTCAAAATAATCTCCACAGGAGGGCGCAATATTTGATACACATGTAATATTTGTCTATTTGTCTATTGTTAGATCAGATATTCAGCGTGTGTAATAATGTGTTGATTTGTGTGTCGACTCTACAGGATCAGTGAAGTGTTGTGGACTGTAAGCCTGTTGAACAGAAGCAGAGACGAGTGGACAGACACTGACTGTACTGATGATGATCATCTGCTGCTGCACAGGTGATGTACATCATGTGTGTGATTGGTTGTGTGTGTGTCTGTTCCACATGTCGGTTACCATCATTTGCTTTGTGGAGGGTCACTCCTCTACAAAGTAAATGATGGTAACCGAAACGGGTGGGGAAGGGACGCAGGTCCAGAATTTTTATACAGTTCATTTTAAATTTTTTGCCAGGCTGTAAAGTATAACCCCTGCTGGACACGGCTCCGGAAGCTCCAGGGGGAGACCGAACTGGTATCCCCCCTTCTTCAGGCGCGCCTCACACTCACTCACCATTCATTCATATCGCAGAGTTCTGGCTGGCCTTGAACCAGCAACCCCTGAAGCCATGGGGCAGCGCTCTTACCACAGAGCCACAGATCTCCATGTCTGAACACTTGCTGGAACTGATTTTGGACTGCTGACCTGTGTGTGAGCTGATTCAATAAAACAAGATATATGTCAGATCTGAACCCTTGTCTTTATGAGTCTCTTCCTCAGAGAACTTGTGTTTATTCACTCATCAACCATCATTAGTTTCACATCAGCGTCCATCATCTTGGTGAACATAATGAATTGTGTGGGACATTAGCCATGGTGAGGTTTGAACCCGGGTCTCCTAGATTAAAGCTCAATACTTTAAGACCTGAGCCACTGAATCTGGACAGTGAAGGAGGTGTCAGATTGGGGGTTTATGACTATTCTCATAACGACCAGGGTTTGCCACATGTTTCTTTGTAATTTGGGCCACGAAAAACCTGCTGCCAAATGTCAAACCCTTTGGCTCAAAGGATGAGCGTTCGCCTGCTATTTAGAAGTGTGAAGGATCGAATCTCATTTCTGCCAGATCGAGATACAAGTCAGATTTGAACTCTTGTCTTTATGAGTCTCTTCCTCAGAGAACTTGTGTTTATTTACTCATCATGGGTTTCATTCCATCATCAGGGGCTCCTGGTCAGTATAATGAGGTCAAGATGGACATTAGCCATAGTGAGGTTTGAACCCGGGTCTCCTTGATTAAAGATCAATAGTTTATGACTTGAGCCACTGAGTCTAGATGGTGAACAATGTGTCTGAATGAGGCTTTATCACTGTTTTCATCATAAACAAGGTTTGACATATGTTTCTTTGTAATTTGGCTCACAAAACAACTACTGCCTGATGTCAAGCCCTGTGGTTCAGTGGATGAGCCTCTGCCTGACACACAGGAGACATGGGTTCAAATCCCACTATTGCTTACTTTACTTTCGGTTGATGGGATTCAATCAGACAGTGTGGCCCAAACAGCAGCTGATAGACTGAAAGCCATGATGGGCTAGTGGATGAACACATGGTTGTGGTGGACAAGGTAACGACAGAGTCCTGGGAACGAAACCCCCCTCGATGTGTGGCTCACACCAACACAAGTGCAAGGTAATTAGAGTGAGAACACACACATAAAATTACTATGTTGTTTTTCTGATTATCTCAGCAGTAAAAAGTAGCGACAGTGCTTGGATTTGAACCCAGGTATGCTGTGACAGCTTCAGATGTCCTGCTGTGTGCTCTGACCACTACACCATCACCACACACATAAACCCACATTTCTGTCTCCAATGGGAGGATAACCACATTCTACACATTTTGAAAAAAAAACTAAATAAACACAAATAATTCATATCAAATGTAAATTATTTTAAATAAATGTAAACTGCATCATATGCGAATATATTATTATATTTCACTATTCAAAATGTGGAAAACATGCTTATTCTTCAATCAGACACATGAACATGTTTCAAATTATCTTACAGCTGCTTGTGGGGCTTTAAATGTCACTAAACACAATTAAACACTGGAAAATATCATCATTTACTTCTAAAGTCTCCTCATACTGTACTGATGACTCTACACCAAATCTGGCCAATCACATGCTCTCCACAGAAAGTCCCTCCCCCAACAAACACGCGACAGAGCAGCAGCACAACAAACACACTTTCTGGACTCTCTACTGGAAATATGAGCTCATAAATACCTTTCCTGGAGCTGTGAATCCGCCTGGATGTGGAGGAGCGTGTGGAGGAGCGTCAGCTGTTGAGCGCAGCTCAAAGATCTGCAGCAGAAACACAACAGACACACGTGTGTATCTTCACTGCTGCAGAGGAGAGAGAGAGAGAGAGCAAAGACTGAACACAAACACTACAACAACATCACTACAAACTAAACCAACGAAGCAAAGTCCCTTACAGGTGAGTCGCGTTACTCTCCATTTCTGCACTTGGTGTGGCTTTTCTTCGCTGTCGGGCTGTAATATCTGCTGTTGACTGACATTATGAGTCTGTCACTGAGCTGTCATCTGCTACTGGAGCTCAACTTGACGCCAGTAAAACGGTGTACCTGTGTTGTTCTGGTGTCGCTGTTGTCAAAGGTGTTCAGGCTAAAAGAGCAGCTCGCTGATGCCGCCTAGTGGAGCGGATGGGATCTGCGCTTTAATGCAGAAAAATCCAAGTCTGCATGCAGATACTATTGGAGAAAGACTGACCAAATCTGCCTCTTGCAGAGTTTACAATTTTTTTTTCATCCACTCATTGCGTTTTCATTCAGCAACAGAAATACTTATAATACAAAACCTAATGAACGACTTAATACAAAATAGGATTAAAAATAAAGCAGCCAGTCATCTTTATAAGGCATTTAGTAAAGGAAATGTGTTCGTATTTTTGTTGGTAAAAATTATCATTTGTGTCTGCTAAATTAGTTGTGTGCTGGATTGTACACCTGTCACACTCTAAAACTTAATATTAATTTGGTTAAGAGCTTATTAGAAAATAAATAAACTGAATTTGTATATTAAATAGAGCATGAACTCATTCATTGTGAATACACTTTAATGTGTGATGAGAACTTTTTAAATGTTTTTAATAATGTGTGTGGTGATGGAAATGACATTTCAACAGTTTATTGTGAAAATAATGAAAAATAGCTTCACCGATTAGATTTGAATTGATACAAGCCTTTCATATATACAAAACACTCTTATTTACCTTCATTTTGTTTTGGTTTTACATTTTTTAAGTAGGTTTTATTGTTAGTTTGACAAAGAAAGAGGAATTTGAACCAAATTATATATATGTTTGGATATTTGATCAAAGGACATAAAAGTGCTCATAGTTGAAGAATTACCCAGATCCTGAAAATAGAGATTTGACAGACACAGACGCTTCAGCTGAACACATCACTACATTAGGTCATGTTTAACTTCAGTCACTGAGCAAAATCATGTCAAAGATTAAAAACTGATTCAAATAATCATAATAATAAAATCAACAAGAACAGATTTTGATCCTTCCTGAACAGATGAAGACAGAAAACGACTCGCTTCAACAGGAAGCAGAACTGTGCTCACGATGACCTCAGTTTAACTCAAGCCTCTCTGTCATTTGAAGATCTCCATAA